TAGAGATCCCAACAACAAAATTGAGGAGAAGGCCAATTACGTGGAGGAAAAGACAGATGGCAAAGAAACTCTTCTTCTAGCACGAAAGGAAACTGATGGTGGCCAAGCAAATTCCTGGTATCTTGACAGTGGTGCAAGCAATCATATGTGTGGAAGGAAAGACATGTTTGTGGAGCTAGACGAGTCAGTAAGTGGAAATGTTTCGTTTGAAGATGATTCCACAATAGCAGTGAAAGGGAGAGGTAACATTCTTATCCGTTTGAAAGATGGGAGACATCAATTTATTTCAAATGTCTACTATGTGCCCAATATGAAAAGTAACATTTTAAGTTTATGGCAACTGGTAGAGAAAGGTTATGATATTCATATAAATAATTATAATCTTTCTATAAAAGATGATAAGAATAACTTCATTGCTAAAGTGCCGATGTCAAAGAATAGAATGTTCTTGATCAACATACAAAATGATGTTGCAAAGTGCCTGAAAGCTTGCTCAAAGATGCATCATGGCTTTGGCATCTTCGATTTGGGCATCTCAATTTTGGAGGTCTAGAGCTATTATCTAAGAAGGAGATGGTGAAAGGACTACCTCACATCAACCATCCTGACCAACTCTGTGAAGGGTGTCTAGTCGGGAAACAATTCAGGAAAAGCTTTCCAAAGGAGTCAGAGACAAGAGCTAAGAAGCCACTTGAGCTCATCCATACCGATGTGTGTGGACCGATCAAGCCAAGCTCTCTCGGTAACAATAACTATTTTCTTCTCTTCATTGATGATTTTTCAAGAAAAACCTGGGTATATTTCTTGAAACAGAAGTCAGAAGTTTTTGAAGTCTTCAAGAAGTTCAAAGCAGCAGTGGAGAGAGAAAGCGGTAGAAAGATCAAAGCTATGAGATCCGATCGAGGTGGAGAATTTACTTCCAGGGAGTTTCAAGAGTTCTGTGAAGCAAATAGAATTCGTCGACCAATGACAGTTCCTAGATCCCCCCAGCAAAATGGTGTGGCAGAAAGAAAGAATAGAACAATCCTCGACATGGCACGAAGCAAGCTCAAAAGCAAGAAACTACCCAAAGAATTTTGGGCGGAAGCAGTATCGTGTGCAGTCTACTTGTCAAATCGATCTCCAACAAGAAGTGTATGGGGAAAGACACCGCAAGAGGCATGGAGTGGAAGAAAGCCTGGCATTTCCCACTTGAGAACCTTTGGAAGTATAGCCCATGTTCACGTACCAGACGAGAGAAGAACGAAGCTTGATGATAAAAGCGAGAGTTTTATCTTCATCGGCTATGATGCTAATTCGAAGGGCTACAAGTTGTACAATCCAGACAATAAGAAGTTTGTGATTAGTCGAGATGTGGTCTTCAACGAAGAAGGAGAATGGGATTTTAACTCTCATACAGATGACTTCAATTTCTTTCCTCAGTTTGAAGAAGATGAGCAGACAATGAGGGAGCAACTAGATGAATCTCAACAAGAGCTTGCAACTCCACCCACTTCACCAACATCAACAACTCAAGGAGACTCATCACCTTCATCATCGTCAAGTGGGAGTCAAAGTGAAAGAGTTGTGCAACGCACAAGAAGCCTTAGAGATCTCTATGAGGTAACTGAACGACAAGATAATCTTACATTATTTTGTCTGTTTGCCGATTGTGAACCAGTGAGCTTTCAAGAAGCGGTACAAGAAAAGAAATGGAGAGATGCGATGGCCAAAGAAATCAAGGCCATCGAGAAGAATGACACATGGGAACTTACCTCACTTCCCAAGGGACATAAGGCGATAGGTGTCAAATGGGTGTACAAAACAAAGCAAAACGCCAAAAGAGAGATTGAAAGGCACAAGGCGAGGCTAGTTGCTAAAGGCTATAGTCAAAAGGCTGGAATTGACTATGATGAGGTATTTTCTCCTGTTGCTCGATTGGAGACTATCAGACTAATCATTTCTTTGGCAGCTCAAAACAAGTGGAAGATACAACAGATTGATGTAAAGTCCGCCTTCCTAAATGGAGTTCTTGAAGAGGAACTTTACATTCAGCAACCATCATGCTATGAAGTCAAATGGCATGAAGACAAGGTGTTGAAGTTGAAGAAGGCTCTTTACGGGCTAAAACAAGCACCAAGGGCATGGAATAGCCGAATCGACAAGTACTTCCAAGAGAATGGCTTCAACAAATGTCCCTACGAGCATGCTCTATATATCAAGATCAAAGATGAAGATATTTTGATCGTGTGCCTCTACGTGGACGATTTGATCTTCATTGGAAGCAACCCAAGCATGTTTAATGAATTCAAGGATGTGATGATGAAAGAATTCGAGATGATAGACATGGGGCTCATGGCGTACTACCTTGGCATTGAAGTTAAGCAACAAAATGATGGAATTTTCATTTCACAGGAAAGCTATGCAAAGGAGATACTGAAGAAGTTCAAGATGGAGAACTGTAAGCCAATAAGCACACCGGCAGAATACGGGATCAAGATGACCAAACATGAAGAAGGCGAAAGTGTAGATCCAACATTCTTCAAAAGTTTGGTAGGAAGTCTACGCTATCTAACTTGCACGAGACCCGATATTCTTCACGCAGTTGGATTGGTTAGTCGCTACATGGAATCCCCAACAACCACCCATTTTAAAGCCGCAAAGAGAATTCTTCGCTATCTGAAAGGTACAATTGACTTTGGCTTGTTCTATTCAGTTTCTAATGATTACAAGCTTGTTGGATATAGCGATAGTGATTAGGGTGGAGACATAGATAATCGAAGGAGCACTACTGGATTCGTATTTTTCATGGGAGATATTGCATTCACATGGATGTCAAAGAAACAACCGATTGTCACATTATCCACTTGTGAAGCGGAATATGTTGCTGCTACCTCATGTGTTTGTCATGCAATTTGGCTTAGAAATCTATTGAAGGAGATTGGTTTGATACAAGAAGAGCCTACCAAGGTTTGTGTCGACAACAAGTCAGCCATTGCCTTAGCGAAGAATCCAGTATTCCATGATCGAAGCAAGCACATTGATATTCGCTACCACTATATAAGGGAGTGTGTTGCAAGAAAAGATGTGGAAGTTGAATATGTGAAGTCACAAGATCAAGTTGCTGATATTTTTACCAAGCCACTGACCAGCGAAGACTTCTTAAGATTAAGGAACCTACTAGGGGTCACGAGATCAAGTTTAAGGGAGGGTGTTGGATCATAAACTTGATCCATTATGGTAGCCTAAACCCAAACCCAAACTAAATTGATGTCATTGCTTACATCAATTTAGTTAGGTGAGAGTTAGATATTTGTTGAATTTGTAATGGTTTAAATTAGTTTATTTGTGTGGTGTAGGATTGTTCTTGAGTAGTATAAATACCCCCTTCCCATTTTAGTTTTAAGCATCAAGAAAAATCAATAGCTTCTAAGTGAGTGAAGAAACAAAGTCTTATAAGAGTGAGTTGTAGTTCTTGTTTTTGAGTGAGAGTGTTCTTGTAATATTTCTTTGAGCTTCAATAAAAGTTGCTTGTGTGAGCGTTTTATTTCCAACAAGGACTTCATATACTTAAACTGCAGCTCATCAGCAATCAGTCTTCAGGTAACCAAATTTTGTTTTTCTATGTTGTTCGGATTTTTCATTTTTTTAACTAATGTTACATGCAACCGATGTTACTTTTATTCGAACATAGATATCGATGCTTAAACTCGAGTCCAAATACTATTTTTGAGCAGATATGGCTGAGGGTAACGCAGCAGAAAGTGGGGAGAGTATTAGCAGGCAGCAAAATAACAAGCTTTATCACTGCAAACGACATGGTTCTGTGTGGTACAGAGTCTGGGTTCATCAAGTCATGGATCCCTCTCTAAACTGAGACATAAACAGCTTAGTATATATAATACTACACATTGTGTATAGTTTTTGAATTTTTAAAAGGATCCCATTTGTGTATAGTTTGTCATATATATATATATATAAGATTATGAGTAGAACAATAAAAAAACCTTAATGATATGATGTTAATATAGTTTAAAGACTTAATTAGAACATTTTGAAGTTTGAGATCATGTTTTAAAGACTGGTGTAAATCTTGTTTTTGAATAAATTTTTACATTGATTTTTATGAAAAAAAAAATCCAATAATATAAATGGGAAAGGATCACAGATTCAAATAGTAGCCGAATAACGGTGTTGTGTTTTGTTATTGAGACCATGAATATTATTTAGGGTTTTAAAAAATCAAATAAAAAATAACTCAAACTCGATAAATCTAATAATGAAAGCTTGAAGATGAACCATAATACTCTCAATGCCCTTAACCATCACAATATTCATGCTAACCATAAAGCAAAAAAGAACGAGAAAAAAAGTTTGTCATTACTAAATTAGCCATTAATAGACTAGATAAAAAAATAAAGTACAAAAATAATCCTTCAACTAAATATTATGTTATTAAGTGTTTTGACTATTAAAATTTATAAGATGATCCTTTAACTATTGAACATGATTTTATTAAGTTATTTAACTATTAAAAGTTATAAAATAATATTCAACATGTCAAAAATCATATCGTCGAATTAATACTTAAAAACAACAGTTGAATCTTAACTTATTAATTGAAGTATCATAAAATTTTATTTCAATGATATATATTAATAAAATCGTTACTTTTAAGTATTGACTCGAATATATAATATTTGAAACACTGACTTGATAAATATAATATTAATATATATTTGATCATAAAATACAATTTAAATGTTCTTTCCAACGAGCATATTAATTTCAAATTCAAATGGACCTCAATCTTTTAACGAAAAAAAGATAAATTAAGAACATATAAATAATTTAATAATTATTTTATAAATTTTAATAATCAAAATCTTAATAAAATAACATTTAATAATTAAAAAAATATTTTATAACTTTTAATAATGAACAGGTTAACTATAATTGAATCATCTGCATACTTTATTCGAAAGAAAATAAACATTGTTTTTTTAAGAGTTATCGGCTGGTCATTTCATCACTCGATAAGCAAAACCATTACCACCGTCTCCGGCAGCTTCGCGTCGGTGACGGCGGCGGCGGCAGTGAGAGGCTGAAGAAGAAGACGAAGAAGTTGAAGAAGATATAGTGCTAGCAAAAGAACAGTACTTATCTTTCTTCAAACTCTCTTCTTCGTCCATGAAAATTTGCCAGCACCTACATTCCTCACTGCAAAAACCCTTATCCCCTCTACCAAAAAAACAAAAACCCTAAATCAGTACCAAATAAAACCCAGAAGAACTGTGACAGCAAATAACTCACTTGTACATGTAGATGTCATTCCCAGGCAAGAGTTTCCGGTTGCAGAGGAAGCATTGCTGAAGAAAAGGTGGAAGTGGGTAATTTAAGTGTGAAGCTTTGGTGTTGATGAACATGGTTGTTTTGTTGATGACTTCACCACTGCTTTGCTTCTCTAACACTACGCTTAATCCAACCATTTTTGCATTCTCTTGAGCTTGATGATGATATATAAATATACTATATGAGAAAGAAGGTTTTGTGGTAGTTTGGGGGGCCATTGCAGTACAGCTATAGCCTATAAGGAGAGAGCAAAGCAGTAAAGTGTAGACCAATCGATTTGACCTGTACTGTTTTTAACTGCCACGTACTCCCTCTCTCTAACTTGTTTTCCATTTCATTTCATTTTCTTTTATTTTCTCATTTTTTTTCATGTTTTTTGTTTGTTTCTCCCTTTTGTCGGTTCTAATCATGGGGACGATGATCTCTTGAGAAGTCGAAAGACTCAAAAATTAATTTTTTTTTCAATATTTGACTCAATCCGAGTTTAAGAGGGTTTCTCCCAACCCGGTTTTTTAAGTTGACACTTGCACCTTCTCAGTTCAACCCAAATATATATTATTTTATTAAATAAAATAAAATTTTAATTAAAAAATAATATATAATCAGATATTATTATAATTATTTTTAAATATAAAAATAATAATTATAAATTTATAATATTATATATTTGATTGAACCGGGTTGAGTTTTCCAATTACTAAACTCAACCTAATCCTTTCGAAAAAATTTGAGATCTAAATTCTTTTAAGGGTAAAATATATAAATAATTCTTAAATTTTTAAGATGTTTGTACTTTAATCATTTAACTTTTGAAATTTACAATACAATCATTAATTTTTTAGTTCATTTTCATTTTGATTCTTACTGTTATTTTCCATTAATTTTTACTTACGTGATACTTAATCCCGTTAATTTTCTGACGTGGCAGCAACTTCTTCTTCCTTCTTTCTTTATTCCTCTTCTTCCTTCTCCTTCTTCGCACAGACTTTCTTCAACTGCTAACATTACTAGAACTCTACAATCTACCCTTGGAGCATAGAGAATACTATAGAACATAAAGAAACATACAGATTTGATCAAAAAGAGATTGCAACCTATAAGATTAATTATCTAAGCATGCAACCAAACGCTTTGATATTAAAACATACAATGATTCAGGTACAAATGGGGAAAAGGACCAAACCGTTCTCATTACAGTCCGTACGCCTGACCACCGTCATGTTCCTCCCCGACTCTTATGTCCCCGTCCTAACTTTAGATAACGGATGTGGTTGGTGTGGGTTTAAAGGTTGAAATGAAAGTTTTTAAAGTTTTAGGGTTATTTCAATTTTTTTGTGTTTTCTTTTTAAAAATATGTAACTTTAGATAACATTTTTAAAATTATCAAATTGTGACCCATGTCACTTAACGGGAAAATTAACGTCGTTGATAACCCAGACATCTAAAGTGATAACGTTCGAAAGGTTAGGCACCGAGATGAGTAAAAAAATAATTAGACGCCTATTCAGGGAAAAAGTATAATTTGAGCACTTATTTTGGTATTAATCCTATTTTAAAGGGTAAATGTACAACCATACAATTAATTATCGAATCAAGGACTTTAAATACAAATACGGTACATCTAAGTCACGACAAATAAAATTAATTAATATAAAAAACTAATTTCACATATTTTTAGAAAATACTAACATGGTCATTTAAATTAGAAAAATTAGCTGTCGGTTTTACTTAATTAATAAAATGCAACCTCTCTATATATTATTATTGTTTTTAATATAACTACATATCAATATTCAAATTATTAATTGACTAATTCAAATTAAGTATTATAGATATATAAGATCATTATTTGATTATACTATATGTCAGATAAAATTTTACAATATTATATGATATATTTAAAATTTAAAAGAATAAATAAATGAGACATTTATCATCTTATTAATATTGTTTATGAAAACCAACAACCAATTGGTCTAGTGAAATGAGACACTAGATCCCTTAAGCAAGGTTAGAGGTTTCAATCTTGACAATTGCGAATGGAGCAAACTGGGTTGGGAGGGTCGCCCTTGCCTCTGCAGTACCTGATCCAGATTAGTCAATCAATAGATCAGATACATATGGTTATACCAAAAAAATATTGTTTATGAAAAATAAGAAAACACACACGCACGCACACACGCGCGCGCGCACACACACTAAATTTTTAATCATAAGATGTTTAATTATTTAATATAATAATGATGTTTAAGATGTAATATTAAAATTTTTAATTATGAACATACGTATAAGAATATTATAAAATATAAAATCATAAGATTAATTATGTTACACGTATTATAAACATTAAAATGTCATAGAAAATAAGAATTTATCAAGTGTATTCAATGGATAAAGGAGTGTTGTTATCTCTCGAGGTCCTAAGTTCGAGCTACTACGTATGTAGGGTGTATGTGTGTCTGTAGTCAATTGTTATAAAGATTTTGAACAGATTCTACATTGTAATCACTCCAGACTATTCAAAAAAAATATCATAGAAATGAAAGTGTATATATTATATGTTATGTTATAATTGGATGAGAGATATAACTATACATATCTAAAAATTGATTTAATATTCTGTTCATATAAAAAGATAGTGATCTTTAAAAAATATGCCTTGTATTTCTTTTCATCTCGTTAGAGAGTTTTACGACAAGAGAAAATATATATATTCTTAGAAGATCAAAACCTTCTAATCAATCTCTATCAATGGATTCACGTATTCTTCTACATTTAATATTTTTTGTTCTTGATGATCTAACATAACATAATTAGCGACAATTAGTTTACATTGTATTTATTTTGATTCTATCATAAGACAATATTTATTTATAAATAACTTTAACAATTAATTTATACTCATTCAACGATAGTAAATCAATATAAAATTTTCTAATTTTTATACTATATAAATAGACCTTACCCCTTATTTTTTTTATATATACATATATTTATTTATTGTGAACGTATTAATTTTTATGGTATAATTATTTTATGGTATTGTGTCAACTGTTGACAGATCTACTTAAATGCTTTTCTTTTATTTGGCCTACTCACTAAAATAATTAAAATCCACATCCTTTGGTTGTTCAACAAAATAAATATATGAGAGGTGGTCATCTACTGCTCCTTTCTTAGTTTTCGGGGTTTTTTTCTTAGTTATATATATATATATATATATATACATCTTCATTGAGCCACCCCACTTAGTTTTTGTGAAAATAAAAGGTGGAAAGTGGTAATAAATTGTTTTAATTTAACTTATCAACTCTTCTTTTTTATTTATTTTTTGAGTGATGAATAAAATATAGTTGACGGCTTAATTAATTAATAAAAAGATTTGATAATATGATAATCCAATAGTATTTAAAGCAAAGTCTTGCACCATTTGCTAATGGGATTACCATATTGAGAGGTCATAATGAATTTATAAATGTTTAAGGGTTAAAAGTAAAATTTTCCCATTAGACTAATGTAGTTATACAATTTTAGGATAAATTATGTATTTAGTCACCCATATATTCCTCGGTTCCGTTTTAATCACTCAACTATTTTCTAAAGAAATCATATCTAATGTTATATTTTTATTCTATTTGGTCATATGTCATTAAATAGTAAACGGAACTGTTGATATATATGATAACTTTTTTTTTATTTTTTAATGATGAGATAACATTAACTTATGATGACACGTTAATATAACGAATTCTTTTTAATGGTGGATGATCAAAACATGACAAAAAACGTAATATTAGAAATGATTTAAAAAAATAGTTTGAATGACCGAAATGAAACCACGAAAATAGGTATGTGACTGAAAATATAGTTTACCCTAACTTTTAAGAGATTATAGAATTATTATTTTTTCTTTTTAATAGGGATCAAGGCTGCCTGTCCCCTCTAGCCACGTTCAAGACCATATTCATTATCATGCATGAAAACATTCGATGTTTATCGATTTTTTTTAAAATACAACTATAATTATAATCCCAATCGCATTAAATAGATAAAATATATAACGAGTTTTTAATTATTCTTTTACAAAATTAAAAATCATTTCACCATCAATATAAAAGCTAATGAATAAATTAATTACATATAATAACATAATTTATTATTATAAAGTAAATGGATAGACACTAGAATGTTGGCTCTAGCAAAGAAGAAGATAAACCCTACTATGTTTATCTTTTATCTTTAACTTTCATTAAATGGTTAGGCCAATTGTGTAGATTTATACCTACAAATATTAAGAATTATTACAACAATCCAATGAATATTGGCATGTGTTGTAACTTTGATCAATTGAAATTTATGATCATGTACAAGTCATTCTTAGATTAATTTTCATGAATTATATGGTTTAAGTAGCGACGGATCCAAAAATTTAATAATATGATCTAAAATTTTAATTTTTTTTATAAAATATAATGAGTATGTATTTTTTTTTTTATTTTTTCTTAATACATTAAATTTAATTTAATTTTTTTTCAAAATGATAGAATGCACTTAACTCATATGAAAACGTATTACATCCGTCCATAATTTTAAATATCAAAGAGTATTATTATGCCTTCTATTTTAAATGTATCATCTCAAAACGATAAATTTATAGAATAAATAGAAAAATAATATGTCTATAACAAATCATTAATATATAAGTTAACAGATAAGACATCTTGAAAAAATAATAATTTTATCATTTAACAATTATTAAACGAATAAAATAGATCCATTTTGATCAAAATAGTGTTAGTCATAGAAAAGGTCAATTATCCATTATCTCATTTTACCACATGAAACATAAAAGATATGTGTATAAATTATTCCTTATCTCATTCTATCTCAAAATGATATTTCTCTTAAAATATTATTTTAATCCTCAACGTTTAATTTTAAGATAAAAAGAATTTTATTTGAGAGCATTAATCATGGTTTTAATTTATGGAAGGATATTTTTATTTTAAAATAAAATGTGGATAGTCAAAATACTGTAAAAAAATATACATTAAATTGACTATTTAATCAAACGTTAAAAATATTTTTTTGATATTATACTTTATAAAAACTCAAAATTATATTATAATAAGAAAACTATTAGTGAAACATACGAAATATGTATGTATATACATATTTTTTTCTTCGGGAAAGAGATTCTCTCTCTTTTCTCTTCGTTAGGACCTTCATTCTAAATCCCCAAAGATATATATATATATATATATATATATATATATATATATATATATATATATATATATATATATATATATATATATATATATATATAAGATACTCAAAATTAATTATATATAATTTTTTTGTTCAAATAAAAAAGAAATAAATTACAAATTATCATTCAATCTTCTTCGTCCACATCTCATTTAACTTTTTTAAACTATCATATAGTATGTTTTTGTATTAATTTGAGATAAATATAAAGTAGTATCTGCTTAAAAATAAACTCTCAATTATTTGATATAGAACTTTTAAATCCCTAATATTTTTTATGCTCAAACCCAAACCTAAAAAAATAACAATAATTGAAGTTGTTTAGTTGATACGTCACATTGCATGTTGTGCATTAACAAACGACATGAAACATAAGTTATTTTTTTTCTTAAATTTACACACGACTTATAAAAAATAAAAAATATATTATAATAAGAAAATTATAAGTGAAGGGTCCATCCTTGGTTAGCAATTTTGGTGGAGGACATTAAATGATGTAAGAGCTTAGGGGCCACGTTTGCTCGTATGAGAATGATGGGAGGTGGGGCTCGCCGATGGCAAAACAAACCAAATAAACATGGTCCAATTTGAGGTTGACATGACAATGATATGTCTTGTTTGCAGTGAATTTGCGGTTTGACCAATTTATTTCTTTTCTTTAACAGTAAATTTGGGTTTGGTAATTTATTTTTTATTAGTATGAAGTGATTACAAGTAGCGATGAATCGAGGGATAGGTGGGGCAGTTCTTCCTGTTATAACCAAAATCATAATAAGTATGAAAAATAACTAGGATATAATCATGTCAAATCATCAAAAATAAAATACTAGATTTACGAAAGAGTACCTAAATCGATTGATAGGTTGAAATCTTTGAATCTTTCTTTGGTAGTGATCTTCCAAGAATATAAAATTCTCTTGAGTATAAACTCTTTGATGTGGATAAAAGAAAATATGAGATTGTCAATTTATTGGAGACCATAACCCCTTTATATACTTGATTTAAGAACCAGTTATTGTATGTACTTGTAACTCTACCCTTCATCAAATCATAAATACAACTTTAATAGTACCTACACTTTTATTTCCATGACACTTTTAATATCTTATGACTTGATAACATAATTGATCATTTAATTTATGTCATATTTTATGATAACAATATACACTATAAATATGTACCCATAATTATGAATTTTAATCCAATAATCTCCTACTTGGGCAACATTATGTTTCCTGATAAATGTATAACTTTATGAGCTCAAACTTTGTTATCGTGTAATAGGTATTCTATAACAATCTCGTCTATCAACTATATCCATATTGTAACACCCTAGACCAGTACAACACACAGTTGACCAATATGAATGCCAAACGAAACCACCGAAGTGGCTAACCAAAATTTTTCTCATTTCTCTTAATTTAAAACAACAAATTTCATAAGAAATTTTACCATAAAATATATTTAAAACATTACATTGGGGGAGTTCCCAAAATAAATATTTACATTCAAAACATATACAGACCGAATTCTAACTGAATTTGCAACTCAACTTTACAACAGGATTTATAAGTATACATGCCCTTCAAAAACTTGAGACGTACTTTGACATGCTCTTGGTCTGGACCTCGATCACTATAAGGCTCCTCAACTACTCCACCTAATTTGTGTAAGGAAACAAATTCCAAACGCTGAGCTAACTAGCTTAGTGTCACACTAACAACTAGATCATACTCAAAGTGTGCCACTAAAATGCTCAAGTTATCAAGTCTACTTCTTCAGTGAGTATACTTGTATACGCTCTCTCTACTCTGTGGTAGATATCATGATGTGACTGAGGGTTCTGTATCTCAAAGCGCACACACTCCTCTAGTATACCGAGGATGATTGCCAAAAATCTCTGTATCAGTCAAGACCCTCGACTGACCCACCCTTGTGATTGTCGGGCCTTGGCCATAGTTATTCAGCTTAAAGTGCCTTACGCACTCCCAAAGGATATTCAGACTACTTCTATACTTCTGACACCCTGAACTTTACTAAAGGAACTCAGATGTCATGATCGTTTCCCGAGCATTCAAACAAGGCTAGTCTTATGTCACCTTACTTTATCTCGTTTCTAAATTTGATTAAGCATTATTGTTGTTCTCACTTCTAGTCTTATTTGGGAGTAATTAAAAGCTTTTGGGAAACCTCACTTGCCTCTATAACTCCCCTTGGTTTAAAGCCCAAAATATAATCATGGTATTAATATTGGCCTTATAGTATCGATATCTCTCTTAAGTATCGATACCCTACCCAAGGTATCAATAACCCAGTGCTGATTTGCCTTGAAAGAAAAGGGGAAATATCAATACTCATATATGAGTATCTATACTTGGACCCTAGGTATTAATACTCCATAGAGTACCAATACCAAAATGGTATTATGGATTTCTGGTTTCGATACCAAGCCCCTCAGTTTTGATACCGAATCCCTCAGTATCATACTCCTTTAAAGGTATCTATACTGCTCTCATAACTCTACGAAATTATGCCTGAAACATGAACATTATTGATTCTGCTTCTTACAATATCGATACTCACCTTTAAACATGCCCTATTTAGACCTTTAAACTACCCAAATTTCTTACCATAAGGTTGCCCAATGATTATTAAGTCTTATATGATCATAAAGGGTCATAAATAAGGTTTAAAACATGCTAAAAATCATCAAACATGAAATCTACAATGAAATGCATCACTAAGATTCATAACTTACTCTCAAGCTAGAACTCATTTCCAATGAGCCACAATTGATATGATGAAATTATGAGTGTGTTACCTGATTCCTTTACTTCTAGAACCTCTTTAAATCAACTAGGATGTGCATTTTCTTTCCCCATTGTCTTAGAACTTTCTTTCCCCATTGTCTTAGAACTTTCTTTCACTTCCTTAGCTAATCAAAGGCAAAAACTAGGAGTTACTAACTTGTCTAGACCTTGGAATTGAGTTAGGAACATTCTATACAACTTAAATTTACTAAAAATAAGCTACAAACCCTTGATTCCCCTAAACCCCTTAAAAACCCATTTTGAAATCTTAACCAAAACTTGAAATTAGGGGCTTGAATTAAAGCTTGAGGGATGGAGAATAAGGCTCTTACCTCGGTTGCTTGAAACTAGGCTTTGAATTCAAAAAGCTTATACCTTTATCTTACTCTTAAGGGGGAAGAAGAAGAGAGAAAAGTAGAAAAAATAAAAAAATGTTTTGTGTGGTAAAAGATCATGTGAAAACACCTATTATAAGGGGTTTCTATCCCTTAACTTAGGAAATTGGTGAACTACACTTTTGGTCTCTATTCTTTTATCCCAACATAAAACAATCACTTATCTTGAACTATTGGGCCAACTTAAGCCCAATACCCTTTTGAATTGGTCCAAACAACTTGAGGCGATCTAATGGGCTCGAGTTATAGGTCTCGAGTTGACCCAAACTATTGACCCAAGATTCGGGGTATTACAACTCTCCCCTCATAATAAGAAATTTCGTCCTCAAAATTTATACTAGAACATCTAATCTTAGAGGCTAGACACCCGAACCCTTATCTTAAGATCATCAATTGAAACTCTCTCTCCCGAACTAGTTCATAACAAATAGAGGAATGTGTATATATAGGTTGAATAAGGTGGTCATCGGAATAGGAAAATAAGGTAAGGGCACATGGATCTCATCAATTGCGTTATAATCATTCTAAGCTCGTATCACATATTAACGGGAGGCAACTCTAGGCTCCATACTAGCTTCATACTAAGTTGCACCCCTACTTACCTGACCAGATA